TTTTTTTTTGTAGATTTACTTCAAAAGAAACATTCATCTTAACAATTACTAACTAGAAAATATTTTAACAACTTAATAATTAAAACCGTAATAATTGGAAAAACCCAACGAATAACAAGGTCTTAAACTGAGATCTAGAGCCTTCCTGTTCTTACATTGTTGTCACTGTGTCTTTGTCGTCAGACTTGCTGATTGTACAATATATTTTGTACAGATTGTAAATAAAGACAATTTTTAATATTAAAAAAAAAAATCCAAATCTTTAAAAAGTCACAGCAAGCCAAGGCTTTGCACGGCAAAGATTGACGAAAATTGCAAATCCTAACGCTAAAAATGTTAGTTAAAATATTTGTTGTCTACGTGGAGTTTAAAACGTATTGCGTTGCCATTTCAAGTCCATACTCGTGCCGTTGCATCACCCTGTATATATTTGTACACGTAATCATAATGATTTGTATTATAAACAGACAAACCCACCCTGAGCCGACGACTGAGGGGAATGTCCTTGGTACCTCGGTGTACTACTGTTGCTCGGAAATGAGAGCTTTGTACAAGCAGCAAAAAAAATAATGTAAAAAAAAAAAATAGTTTCCTTAATTGCATCGCGCAAAGAGAAAAACTCAAAAACAAAATCAACGGCGGCATGTGTACTACTTGGATTATTATTAAACGTACATATTATTATTATTATTTTTTTTTTTTTTATAAATACTCTCAGTCTCGGTCTCTGTCGATATTATTATTATTATTAATAACGTTGGTTCGCCTTTTTCCTTTGACTTTTCGCGAGTCGTCTGCTAAAAAGTCTGAACGTGACGTGCAAATAAATAAGATTTCCTCGCCGTCGGCCGTCAAACCGAGTCTATCAATGAGTCAATATATATATACATAAAATTATGCTTTGTACTGATATATATGCATTCTGGCGGCGAAGGAGGCGCGGTAATTTTTCTTTTTAACATATATATATATGTATAATATTTATTCAGACTACTCGAGTATGTGTGTGTGTTTTTGCACGGAGAACTAAAAAAAAAGTACTTCTTCTAATATTATAATATAATAACACACACGAGAGAACGGAAATGTTGAAGGGAGGAGCACAATCGACAATCAACCGGAGGAAATAATAACATAGGGGTACACGGTCTGTGTACAACACCAGCAGCAGCATCAACAGCAGCAGCTACTATATAATAATATTATACACACTACAACAACTACTGTGTGTGATTCGCCTGCACTCGCTTCTCGGCAACGTATTATTATTACACATTTTTTTATTGTACGTCTTCAGCTCGTGTACTATCAAAGTAAAAAAAAAAAAATAATAAAAACGCCCAGATTTTCAAATGTGTCCAAACCAAACTATCGTTTCGGCGGCGCGCGGTATTATTATAATTTTTGACGACCGTCACTGGCATGCCCGTCCACCGTCTCTATAGACCTAGGGGTGTGATTAGCCCCTCGCACCAGTCGTACACCACGCCGCCAAGCTCTTGTAGCGTGATCCTGCCAGATCGGTCGATCGTGTAAGATTTCCCCGAAGGAACATCATGTACGGTTTATTTTTAAAAACGCCTGCGAGGTTTCCTTTGCACATCTAGTTCTCTATCTTTTTTACTGTAGGTGTGTATCATCTCTATAATCACTTTGAAAGGTACCCTTTGACATGGATACGACCGCCAGTCTTATGGCTGGGGGTCATTCTGAAAACAAAGTTAAGGGTATCCACACTTTATGCAGATACATCAAGTTTCAGGATATATAAAGATGTATAAGGATATAAAATGATATAAGGGTATATAAGGATATATAAGGATATATAAGGATATAAGGGTATATAAGAATATATAAGGGTATATAAGGGTATATAAGGGTATATAAGGATATATAAGGATATAGGGTATATAAGGATATATAAGGATATAGGGTATAAGGATAAATAGATATCAGGACGTATCCGTGTATTGATGTATCTGCATGAAGTGTGGATACTCTTAACTGAGTTTTCTCAGTTACCAATAATTTTATTTTTCTGTTTTGTGTAAACATTCAAAAGACAAAGTTCTAAGACTACCAGAATTTGAATTTTGATTCCAACCCAGGTTCAAGCATTTACCTAGCTGTATTTTAAATCCAACAGTAAAAAAATAGCTTGAAACCTAAATATTAAATAACCATATCCTTCAATGACGGTATTTTATAATAATTATTTATATATCATAATACTTGCCTTCTAAAATAAATAGCTTAGTCCCAAGAGGGGGGGGGGGCTATTGCCCCCTTAGCCACCCCCTTAAACCCGCCCCACTGTTCCAACCCGAATGCCCAAGGTCTATTATTATTGCCGAGTAGACAATTCGAACGACGCAATTGGTTTGTGTGTTACACGGTAACCGTTGGCGCCGAGCTAAGTAGACAGGTATTAATAATAGTTATTGAAATTAAATTGCTCGTTTAATGCATAAAAAAAACAAAACAAAACCTATCCGTTTCGGACGAGATACTAACCATATTCGGCCGGGCCAACGTACCGGCGGTTTTGACCTTATAAAAGTATATTAATAACAGTCATGGCCCGCCGCCGCCACCACGTTCCTAAGTGTTATTTATTTTTTTTTTTTTGTCGTTCCTCTAACGCTAATGAATCTTTTTCATTCTTACCGTTGATCGATGCAGTGTCTTCCGAGGAGTGCATTATAGTTTCGTATCCGGCATCACTTCCGGCACGGTTGTCGAGGTGCAAATAATTGAAATGAAAAAATGCCGTGAGTGTGCGTTTTTTTTCCACCCCTGCGCTTTTTTACTATACAATATAAAACACCGCCGGTTGTATCGATACAGCATTTACAGCATGTACATATTGTATCAACAAAACGGCTGATGATATAATATACGGATTTTTCCGCTACCGCTTCGTCCAAACGTGATGAAAAAAAAAAGCCTGTGCGGTTATTATAACTGCATGACTATGTGAAGATGTGTGTAGCAATAACGCCCGTTGTATTGCACGTGTATTAATATATACACACAGAGGATATCGTCCTATGTGTGTGTGTGTGTGTGTATGCAAACAGAGTATTATTGCTCGCCTTGGAGGGCAGGAGGGGGTTGTACGCTGTACAGGGTGGTCCATCGAACGTGGGCTGTATGAGGGAAAAATTAATATTGAAAACTAATGGCTTACACGTCGGATGGATCACACCCTGTACAACACGGTAGGTGTCTATACAGGGTGGAGATGTACACGGCGGGAGAGGCGAAAAAAGGGTTTCTTCTTCATCATCATCATTCGCTTGTACACACACACACATACACAAACAAAACACAACATTGTAATATATATATATATATTGTGTATTGTGTGCGGTATTTCGCGAGCAATCCGCTTGAAGGGGGTACAGGCAGTAGAGTAAGGGTTGGGGGTGGGTTCAAGGGTGAAAATAAATATAAAACCGCTACCGCAAAAAAACCCATTGACGGGAAAATAATAACGATAATAATAGTTGGCGGGAAAAAAAAAACAAGAAAGTTTGTTCGGACAAAAGCCACTCGAGTTGGATTTTTTTTTTGTGCACATATACTATACTCGTATAAATATATACATATACATGTATAATAAACTTTTGCCGGTCGAGCCGATGCGGAAAAACATTATAATGCGTACCTACACGCATTGGCCACTTAAAGAAAAGGGCGTCGTCGTCGTCGTCGTTTTTTAAAACAATGTAAACTAGAAGAAAAATTAAAAAAAAAAAAAACCTTGGAGTTTGTTTGCTTAGCTACGGCTCTCTATTGTCGACCCGTATAAAACGTGCAAACAATGTGGAAATTGCGACGTGCACTCTTGTCAACTTTCAGCCATCGTTGGGTTAATTGTATGTATTTTTTTTTTTTTGTTATTTATACACCCCGTTGTGTCCGGAAGGGTTGGAAATTATTAATTAAACGCCACGCCGCCGCGTCTTGAGGTACAGTGATCTCGAGATGGGAATCATACTTGGGGCGGACAAGAGTAGTGTTGTGTAAAAAAAACCAACAAACAAAAACTGCAGTCAGTTTACCGCGCTTAAAAAAAAAAAAAAAAAAACATGAACGTTATGCGTTGCAGTCTATCATAGTTTAATGACATTGTGGATTGATTTAAATGTCTGTTTAAAGAGCAGACTTAACAATATTATTTTTCCACAAACTTGTGCATGTCTTTTTCACACGGATATGTCTTATGGCCCGGGTCATTCTGAACGTTTTCGACATGTTAAGTGTCACAGTACTGACGTCATCAAGTATATATATATATATATATATATAAGATTAGAAATAATAGATATGGATTATGAAGGGTCATTCTAAAAATAAAGTTAAGAGTATCCACATTTCATGCAGATACATCAAGTTGCAGGATATATAATGGATATAAGGATATATTAGGATATATAAGGATATATAAGGATATAAGGTATATATATATATATATATATCAGGACATATCCATGTATTGATGTATTTGCATGAAGTGTAACCGTACTCTGTAAAATCGTTTAATTGGCTATTATTTTGTCTTATTTTTGACGGGTAAAAAAAAAACTTATTACACGAGCTATTGCCATCTATCTATCATCCGTGTAAAGAAATCCGCTTCATTTATAAGTCTAAGGAGACCTGTGGCAGTTGCCTCTAAAGTGGGGGGACACAAAATATTAGTTTTTAATTATTTTCCACAACCTAACCTAACCTTTACCGTGTTACAACCCAAAGTACAGGCTAAATACTGGCTCCAAACACACGAAGGTCTGCCATTTAGTGGACCATTTTTTTTTTGCCAGGGTTAGGTAAGAGACCGTGTAAAAAAAAACTTGTCAGATCTTGAGTTCATAACATAACAAGGGGGACATTGCACAAAGCAATACAATCCTATTAAGGTGGAAATAGTCTAATGTTGAAAACAAATTTCGTTTTATTAATATAGAAATGTATTGTTTGTTTGTTTTTTTCAGGAAGTTTTCCTTGGACGATGTTTGTTGACGTTTCCCGTTTGACCGAAGCGACGCCATGGATAATATGAACCAGGTAAATATTTATTTCGGTAAATCGTTTATTTTGTTTTTAATTCCCTGGCGGCTTAAGAATATCATACTCGATGCACGCTGACGTCTTGGGGGATTCTGAAATTAATCTTGCATAACGTGTGGCGATGGGCATATAAAGCCCAAGTCGGGGGTTTTTTTTTTCCTTCACTTTCTCGACACCCTCTAAATAGACCATCGCAATCCTTTCGCCACGTGTGTGTGTGTCACAGCTTCGGAAAACCAGTTGAACGTATGTATAATATATTATTATCATTATGTTCAGTACACGGTGTGTGCGGTGGTATAGGTAGGTAGTAGACAAAAAAAAACTATCCGTCACCCCAACAGTTGGCACGAATTTCGGATTTAAACGGCGGAAGTGTTTTATTTTCGTATCCATCGACTTACCGGTGGGATAGGACCGTTAGATTTGGTTTTTTATCCTCCGCCGTGGGATTAATAATATATTATATCATGTACAGTGCTTTCACGCGCTATAGTTAACCCGCGGCAGACGTCAGACGAACCTCGCACCACGTTGCACCACCTCGGTGTATATTAGAAACTAACGATAAACACCATCCCCTTCCACCCCACCCCCTCTACCCCCCTGTAAAGAACAGATTATAAAATAAAAAAATAATTGCAGCAAATGCCTAATGTGTAACGACAACAACAATAGCTGTTAAACATCATGGCGCACTCGGTTGGATTGTTGCAGGGATGTTTCCACCCCCAAAAAAAGACCACCTTTTTTATGATAATAATTTTAGTTTGTTTGCGGGTAGGATACCCAAGAGTCCCGATTCTTTTGCAAATATCTTTTGTTCCAGAGGCTTTGTACATTGACAATTGTGCTTACACACATTGTTTCGAATAACTTTAACTGGCTGTCCTGAAAAATTGCATTTTATGGAGTCAATCAGTTTGGGGCTTCTGAGCGCCTCGTTTCATCCGCTCCGGGAAAAAGGTTGTCCAAAGATAATTTGCCTCTTATCCAGATTCTGTCGTTCCCGTTGTGTGCAGATGTTTGAGCGAATGTCCGTGGCCTGTTGTCCTGTACTCAGGATGAATAAATACTATGACGAATTGTAGTAGTCCCAGTAGGAGAAAAATATAAAAAAAATTATTCTTATCTCGCGGTTCGTCCGTGCGCCAAATGGTCATTATAATATAATATTGTTACGTGCCTTATGGTGGTCGGCTTTTAGCAGTTATTTTCGTCTCCGGCTGCCGACGATTGTTACGTACAGTACATAATATGAGCACTGTCAGATCTAGACCGGTGGACAGTGCCAAGACAAAAAGCTTGCGGCCGTTCTCCGTATAGTTTATGGTCTATGATGTATAGTGCGCTGGAAATAAAACCCAAGTACTTGGCGGCCGCGACACCTTGAATTTGTGATTTTTTTTCCTATTAATTTCACTCGTACACGCTTGATACAAATTCACACGTATCGCGGTTTCTTCACGTATCACAAACTTGAAGTTGACGGGCTAAATGTGTAAGTATTCGTTGGGTACACGCTAGTATACATATGGATATTCCTTGTAAAACGGCGGGGAAACTGTTGGAAGATATTGGAATACCGATAAAGAATGCACGTGCACACAACCCGTTCGGTGATTTCTGACTTTTGCGAGTCATCCAGTTGAAATTGTGTACATTACATATTGTACACGAGGAATGCGTTGCAATCGCAGTGTTTATCCGTCGCTAACGAGGAGCCTTATATTTTAGTTTTTGGCTCGAAGAAAATGACATTTTAAATTGTGAAAAAGTCCAACGCCGCCGCCGCCGCCGCCGGGAAATGATTAATGATTGCGCGCTTTCTTCTCGGCGAACCCTTTTCTTCTTTTGCCGGTTCATTTGTTATGTGCGTTAACTGATATCGAATTGACAAGCGGATGTTCATTAAAGGGTAAAGAATTAGTAGATAGGTAGGAGGTACAACAGGGCGCGAAAAAGATAAAAAAAAAAAACCCAAAGAAAGAGGTTCGCTTTTTCTTTGAAAACGTTCTTTCCGCCACGTTTCTTCTCAAAGCTTGCAGTATGCACACAATATACTTCTATAGAACGTTCTGTATAGTTGCAGAAACGGCAAAAATTCCAAACAAAGTCCGCGCTTCTCTTAAGGGATGAACATTTTCCAAGTATTGAAGAAAATATAGTAAAACAAATACCCATAGAAATTATATTCATATTTTCCTAGAAAATTAGTGTCTTACGGAATCACCAACTATTGTTAAATACACTCTTAACATATTGTTAGATGTTAACAATTCATTTGAATTTACATTTGGTTAAATTAAATAAATTTCACCGTGACATAATTATTGTTAAATTCCATTTGTAAGTTAACAAAACGTTAGTTGGGTTACCGAAGCGGTTACCTCGATTCCAACGTTCTCATTGGTTATTAAAATATGTGATAAGTGATTGTATTATTTCATTTGTCAGTTTGTTATTATTTGGCATTTTGTTTTACTTTCTATTAACGTGTTGTCGGTTTATATAAATAATTTGTATATTATAATTGTTTAATACATTGTTTAGATAGTCTTTTCTAAAAATAGTTTGTCATCAAGGTCATTGAAATAATTTTTTCTATTTTGAAGGCCTAAAATAAAAGTAGGTAGTGATAAGAATTATTTCCATTGTTATACTCAGGACGGGTAAGGCATAATAATATTGTCTCAATTACAAAATACAATACATTATGATATTTGAATCTATATTTCAAGTCTGTGCCATTCGTTTTTACCTAATCATACCTAATCTACCTACATAAAATAACTTCTGCTTACCTAATAAAGGGTTTGGAAGTTGTCTTTTCTATTGTTCTTTAAATACTCAATATTAAGAAGTTCCTCGTTAAATGTGTAATTCATTATTATATATTACTAGTGTATTCAGTCAACAAAAATGATAAAACAATTTCTGAACTATAAATATTATATTATATAAGTACTACAATACATTTTAACATGCCGATTAACGTTTTAACAAGCCGATTTTGGGTGATTAATTTTACTATCACAATGTGTCAAGGCTAACCAGTCTCGATGAAACCCAATTTTCATTAACTAGTTGCTGAACATAATTTACCAACAAGTAAAATTATTAACAAATGTCGGTGAATAAAAGTACAATCGTAATAATGACAACAGGTATTATTACTGTAAAGACAAATGAAGGTCTTTTTCGCAGTGCCCCTTAGAAATAGTGCGACCAATAAGTTTTGAATCCGACCCTTTTTTTTTTTTGCCCTTTCCTCGTTCGTTTGACAGTATATTATTATTATTGCTATTATTACACAAGAGCGGAACAAAACTTTTGCCCTTCGGGTGACAATTACGGTTGAATTATCATTCCCCAGACGGACCTCGTCTTACGGTCGTGGCCTGGAATTCAGTTACCAATTATATCTATTACCGTTTTTGTGTGTCGTTTCTCCCCGGCGGCGTAGATATGACCGTTCAATAATAATGCTTGTTAAACGAGTTTCTTCCGGCCGGAAGGGGAACACAATGTCTCGAAAAATAGACATTGCAACAAACCGCCGTACACAGCTAAGAAGGTATTGAATTTATCACATGACGATGTGGGTTGGATCTTTCAACTTTAACTTGGCTGAAAATCTGACTATATACATATACATATGGTGAAATTTGACAAATCTGTTTTCAAGTTTGTGCTATCTATACATCTTAACTTTTTTACATACATTTGGTCATAAAAGATGTTATCTTTTACAAAATTTAAATTTACATGTTTATTTAGATATACACTTAAGTGGCATCGCGTCGAAATAGTATCGACAAAAATGTCTTAAAAATTGCATTTTGAAAAATCACAAGACCGACGAGATATAAGAGCAAAAATAATTTATTAATCAATCAAGACTACATTACTATTGAACATATGTTTTACTACATGCATGCATATTACAGTAATTAACAGTTAATAGGTATTATAATCAAACATTGGGAAATAAATTATTAATGATGATCCTTTCAACGTCTTTCGGAGTGTATATGACGTCTGAAAGTACAAAATATAATTATGAATTGTTTGAACAAACAAATCAAGCCAAATGAGTTGAAAATCACAACGTGGGACGCTTGAAAAACATCTCAATAATAACGCAATATTAAATTACACGATATTAGTGTGAAATTTATCATTTTCTTTTAAAAAAAAAAAAATAAAAAAATGATCTTGTATCTTATAATTTGCTAATTGTTTTTTTGGACAACATCAAAAAAAGGAGGCCCGTTTTTAAAATTTTTTTAGTACAAATACGGGTCATGATTTTTTAGTTTAAAAAAAAATTAATTAATTTACAGCTAAACAAATGGCAAACTTTATTAATGAAATGTCTTTGCAATAGTTGTTTTTCAACATTTCACTCGACTCATTTATTGAATATTATTCTATTGTTTTATTACTGTAACGGAGCTCTTTGATTTCCTCATCACTGGGATATTCACCGGTTATTCCCTCATATTCAATTTTTAAATCATCGACTACTTTTCGTACTTGCTCGTAGCTATATGTGCCGTCTTCTTTATCATCGTGTATATTGACCACGCTTCTTATATTTTTCTATTGTTAAAAGACTATAATTAGTACCTGTTATAGTTATAAGAATGTAACCTGTCTTGCATAGAACAATTGAAATATTCAATATTTTAAATATCTCCACACAAGCCACCTAACGGGCCTCGTATCTTGTAATATAATATTGTAGTTTTTATTTACCAATACATCCGGATCATCTGAACACACAATCTTTCGGGCGTAGGATTCGACTTGCTGCTTTGTAAACAAGTCTGAGAGCACAAAATATTATAGTATGATATTTTTTAATCAAAGGCCTAATGAGTTGAGGATAACAAAGTGTTATACTAGAAAAACATATTTATCTATTGTGTATTACCTATTTGCAATTCTTCGTTTTTGTCGAGCGTTGTGTATAATTCGCACGTATCTGCTACATGGTTAAATAAAGTTTGCAATTTTTTAAAGTTTAATACATTTTGCCCCACTGTTCTCGCGACTTCATCTCGAGCCCAATTCTATAATTTTTTATAATGAGAATTTAACTTTAAACTATACCTATAGAACTGTATAATAGAATATGTATAATCATAAATAAATAGTGTTCGTTATACTTACAACTAGCTCTTTAGAAGTGGCACCTTGACCGTGCAAGAAATTTAACGTGACGCAGAAAAACAGTATAATATTTTTTAAATGCATTGTTATTTTTTAGTAAAAATAAACTCAAATTCAGAATACTTAATTATTAGTATTGAAACTATTCGCTTAGAGTACTCGAGGTGATTTTATAATGTAATGAGAATATTGTATTACTATGGTTGATGACTGTGAAGTTATCTTTACTAGCTACTTACTAGGTTTGTAATGACTGTACCGTCCCGTTTGAGTAAACAACACATGTTTAACAACGTTTTTTTATTTGCGTTGTATGTTATAAACGTTTTATTTGACTACTAAAGTCTTTTAAAAAAATATAGCTTAACAAGTGTTTTTAAAATAATATCTAGGTTGCTGCTTGAGTTTAAGTTAACTATACAAGAACATAAAACATTATCGTATGATAAAAACCAAAAAGGTTATACATAAGACATTTTTTCATAATTTTATTATATTATCATATAAAATCATGTATAGTCTATAAAATCCCAAATACCCTGTATACTAATTAGTATATGTTAAAAAAATGAATTTGATCCTTGAAGATTGAACAAACAACATTGTTATTATATTAAACATATCATTATAAAAATTAAATTTATTATTATTAAATAATAAGTATGTTAATAAATGAATGACTGTTTTCTATCTAGTATTCATACATAAATTAAAGATTTCAGTTTATTTGATAGAGTAATATATATACATCTTAATTGTTGATAGTACAATGCTGGCTGTTATTGTAGCAATCAAAAATGAAAAACAATTATTTTTTCTTACTTGAATGGTATTAGAAAAAATATATCAAATTTAAAGTAAATTGAGTAATATTTAATACATACTATTTAAAAACCGACAAAACACTTGTCAACATTTGTATTTTTTTTTTTATCAAGTTGTATCTACAAATCCTATAGTGTTAATATTAAGTAGTACAATTTTTTCTACATGCAATTAATTTTTTTACAGAACTTTTGTTTGAAATTTCCTTGTCAAACAGAGTAATTACATTCATTCAAATTAATTTCTTCTATTTTAAAACAATTTCAACACTGTTGAACGGGTCTTCCGAGAGTGTTTCAAAAAACAAAATATAAATATATCAATACAGATTTGATATTTAAAATGTGATAACAGGCTCATTGTGATACGTTAACTGTAAATATTTGTTTGATTTTCTTTAAACTATTTTTGATAAGCAAATGATAAATATCACAACTTCGATAAGTAGTTATCTGAAACCAAACACTTATCAAAAAATGACTGAGTACCCATTTTATGATTTAAAAACATTTTTAACGCTTGCCTGAAATCGGCCAATAGAGTAATACCATGTGAATAGACAAATGCCATTAAACACTTATGAAGTATAATCGGTTTTTTAGTTTGTGCTATCTCTTTATCTAAACTTTTTTTACCTCCGTTTGGTCATAGGACGTTATCATATAATCTTTTACAAAATTTAAACTTACATGTTTATTTAGATATACACTTAAATGGCATCGCGCCGAAATAGTATCGACACAAATGCCTTGAGAATTGCATTTCGAAAAATCACAAGACTAACGAGATGTAAGAGCCAAAATAATTTATTAATCAATCAAGACAACATGAATATTGAACATGTGTTTTACTACATGCATGTAGTAATTCAATAACAGTTAATCAACTACTCCTTAAATAAATTATTAAAGATGAGTGTTTCAACGTCTTTCGCATTGTATTTTCTTTCTGAAATTACAAAATATTATTATACATTTTTTAAATATAAATCTACATAATATTGACATAATAAATAAAAACTACAATACTATATTACAAGATAAAAAGCCCAATAGGTTGCTTGTGTGGAGATATTTAAAATATTGAAACCTTCTTTTTGACACGGAAAGGGAGAAATTAATTGATATAAAACATTTTTAACTACTATGAAATAAATCAGTGACATGGTAAAGATTTTGTTTTTTTTGGTGGGGGGGGGGGGTAGAAGTATGTTTAATTTAATAATAAAAATGTGTGTATTTTTGTTTTTAAATCACACATGGTATTTTAGGCTCTTGTTCAGCCACTTGATAAAAACTAGCTCCTCCCCCCCCTAAAAAAAAAAAAAATTACTTGTTGATTAAAATTGTATTTTTTTTTGTCAATGATCAATGATTATTGATTACTTTTACAAAATGATTAGTTATAATATTAACAACACTGCTATATTTTATTATACTGTTAAAAAAATAGAAAAAGATAAGAGCCATGATCGATATACACGATGTAAAGGAAAACGGCACATATAGCTTCAAGCAAATACGAGATGTAATCGCTGATTTAAAAATCGAAATTGAAGAAATAACCGTTCATTGTCCCAGTGATGAGCAATTAAAACAGCACTACTACAGTAATAAAAACAATATTAGAAACATATTCAATAAACGAGTCGAGTAAAATGTTGAAAAACAACTATTGCAAAGACATTTCATTACTTAAGTTTGCCATTTGTATAGCTTAAGTTAATTAATTTTTTTTAAACTAAAAAATTATAATCCGTATATTTACTAAACAATTTAAAAATGGGCCACCTTTTTTTGTTGTCCAAAAAAACAATTAGCAAAATGTGAGATATAAGATCATTTTTTTTTTTAAGAAAATTAAAAATTTCACACTAATATCGTATTATTTAAAAATTGCGTTATTATTGAGATGTTTTTCAAGCGTTCCACATTGTGATTTTCAACTCATTTGGCATGATTTGTTTGTTTAAAAAATTAATAATTATATTTTGTACTTTCAGACAAACAATACACTCTGGAAATAGTTGTATCTATCATCCTTGATAATTTATTTAAGGAGTAGTTGATTAACTGTTATTGAATTACTACATGCATGTAGTAAAACACATGTTCAATATTCATGTTGTCTTGATTGATTAATAAATTATTTTTTGCTCTTACATCTCGTTAGTCTTGTGATTTTTCGAAATGCAATTCTCAAGGCATTTGTGTCGATACTATTTCGGCGCGATGCCATTTAAGTGTATATCTAAATAAACATGTAAGTTTAAATTTTGTAAAAGATAATATGATAACCTCCTATGACCAAACGGAGGTAAAAAAAGTTAAGATGAATAGATAGTACAAACTAAAAAACCGATTATACTTCATTAATGTTTAATGGCATTTGTCTATTAACATGTTATTACTCTATTGGCCGATTTCAGGCAAGCGTTAAAAATGTTTTTAAATCATAAAATGGGTACTCAGTCATTTTTTGAAAACTGTTTGGTTTCAGATAACTACTTATCGAAGTTGTGATATTTATCATTTGCTTACCAAAAATAGTTGAAAGAAAATCAAACAAATATTTACATTTAACGTATCACAATGAGCCTGTTATCACATTTAAAATATCAAATCTGTATTGATATATTTATATTTTGTTTTTTGAAACACTCTCGGAAGACCCGTTCAACAGTGTTGAAATTGTTTTAAAATAGTAGAAATTTATTTGAATGAATGTAATTACTCTGTTTGACAAGGAAATCTCAAACAAAAGTTCTGTAAAAAATGTAATTGCATGTACAAAAAAAAATTGTACTACTTAATATTAACACTATAGGATTTGTAGATACAACTTGATAAAAAAAAAAAATACAAATGTTGACAAGTGTTTTGTCGGTTTTTAAATAGTATGTATTAAATATTATTCAATTTACTTTAAATTTGATATATTTTTTCTAATACTATTCAAGTAAAAAACAGTCATTCATTTATTAACATACTTATTATTTAATAATATTAAATTTTAATTTTTGTAATGTGATATGTTAAAAACAAGAACAAAGTAGTTTGTTCAACCTTCAAAGATTATATTCATTTTTTTAATATCATTCCAATTAGTATACAGGGTATTTGGAATTTTATAGACTATACATGGTTTTATATGATAATATACTAAAATTATTAAAAAATGTCTTATGTATAACCTTTTTGGTTTTTATCATACAATAATGTTTTATGTTGTTGTATTTTTCCCTATTCGGTGTAAAAATATAAGGAGTTAACTTGAAACTCAAGCAGCAACCTAGATTATATTTTAAAAACACATGTTAAGCTATATTTTTTTAAAAGACTTCAAACAACAAATAAAATGTTTATAACAACGCAAATAAAAAAACGTTGTTAAACATGTGTTGTTTACTCAAACGGGACGGTACAGTCATTACAAACCTAGTTAGTAGCTAGTAAAGATAACTTCACAGTCATCAACCATAGTAATACAATATTCTCATTACATTATAAAATCACCTCGAGTACTCTAAGCGAATAGTTTCAAAACTAACAATTAAGTATTCCGAATCCGAGTTTAATTTTGTTAAAAACTAACAATGCATTTAAAACACATTATACGGTTTTTCTGCGTCACGTTGTTTTTCTTACACGGTCAAGGTGCCCCTTCTGAAGCACAAGTTGTAAGTATAACGAACACTATTTATTTATGATTATATACATTCTATATTACAGTCCTATAGGTATAGTTTAAAGTTTAATTCTCATTATGAAAAATTATAGAATTTAGTTCGAGAGGAAGTCGCGACAAGAGTGGGACAAAATGAACTAAACTTTGATGAAATGGCAATTGTATTTAACGATATATCAGAGTTGCTCGACTCACCCGAAAGGCTCGTAAAAAGCGATGAATTGAAAATAGGTAATTAACAATAGACAAATATGTTTTTCTAGTATAACACATTGTTATTCTCAACTTTATTAGGCCTTTGATTTAAATGTATACTATAATACTTTGTTCTTTCAGCCTGTTCATATACGAAGCCGGAAGTCGAACGCTACGCCCGATCGATTGTGGGTTTTGATCATCCGGCTATATTGGTAAATAAAAACTACAGTACTATATTACAAGATAAAAGGCCCAATAGGTTGCTTGTGTGGAGATATTTAAAATATTGAAACCTTCTCTTTGACACAGAAAGGGAGAAATTAATTGATATAAAACCTTTTTAACTACTATGAAATAGATCAGTGACGTGGTTATGATTTTGTTTTTGGAGGGGGGGGGGAGATAGAAGTATTCCTGAGTAAACATAAAGTGGGGAGCAACGCCCCCTACACGCCTCATCCAAGTTTACTCTTTTTTTGAATATACCTACTATTGTACACAGTTATATATTTTATGTTATAATATACTTTATAGTTATATATATTTTTATAATATAATATACATTGAAAATTTGATACGAAATAACTTTTTTAAATAATAATTTTACAACAGAAGATCTATTTTTTGAGTTCTATTCGTCTTATATTTCTACGAACTGCCAACATGGCTAAGCCATTAAAATCTATCCTGTTTTAAGATAATTAATAGTTAATTACTATTAAAATGTACTGACAATTATTTAATCACAATGCATAAAATGTAAGCATGTTTTTGTTTTTACATCGTACATGGTATTTTAGGCTCTTGTTTAGCCACTTGATAAAAATTTAGCTCCTCCTCACTCAAAAAAAAAAAATGCCTTGTTGACTTAAATTTTATTTTTTTTGTCAATGATCAATGATTATTGATTACTTTTAGAAAATGATTAATTATAATATTAACAACACTGCTATATTTTATTATACTGTTAAACAAAATAGGAAAGGATAGCATACGTGATCGATGCGCACGATGAAAACCACAACGGAAAATATAACTACAAGCAAATACGAAATATAATCGCCGCTTTAAAACAAGAATTTGCCGTTTTGGAAATAACCGTACAATTTCCCAGTGATAAGCAAATTAAAGAGCGATTTTACAGTAATATAAAATAGAATAATATTCAATAAATGAGTCGAGAAAAATGTTGAAAAACTATTATTGCATAGACATTATCATTATTATGCCAATTCTTCGACTTGCTGCTTTGTATATAGGCCGTCTGAAAGTACAAAATATTATAGTATATTTTAATCAAAGGCCTAATATAGTTGAGAATTACAATGTATTATACTAGAAAAACATATTTGTCAATTGTTAATTACCCATTCTCAATCCATCGGTTTTTTCGAGTTTTACGCGTTTTTTGAACACATCTGCTATATAATTAAATGCATTTTGCAATTCATCAAAGCTAAATACATTTTTTTCCCCCATTAATCTCGCGACTTCGGCTCGAATCCAGTTCTATAATTTTTCATAATGAGAATTAAACTTTAAACTATGCCTATAGGACTGTAATATAGAATGTATATAATCATAAATAAATAGTGTTCGTTATACTTACAACTTGTGCTTCAGAAGGGGCACCTTGACCGTGTAAGAAATACAACGTGACGCAGAAAAACCGTATAATGTGTTTTAAATGCATTGTTAGTTTTTAACAAAATTAAACTCGGATTCGGAATACTTAATTGTTAGTTTTGAAACTATTCGCTTAGAGTACTCGAGGTGATTTTATAATGTAATGAGAATATTGTATTACTATGGTTGATGACTGTGAAGTTATCTTTACTAGCAATACCTTCTGTAAGAAAATACACTGTAGGAATGAGTGGCGGTGTCAAGTTTGTAACTATTGTACCGTCTCGTTGACGGTAAACAACACATGTGTAAGAACGTTTTTTATTTGCGTTGTGTGTAGTTTGTCAACCAAGCGCTCTTTTTCTGTTTTTTAGAAATACTTACTACACTCGCATTGGAAACCGTTTTCGTTCGGTTCGAAAGGGAAAATAATAAATAATTATTTCGCCCAACTAAGTTCTTACACAAAAAAATAAAAACCTACCATACAAAACAGTACCTTAGCTCCGCGTAAAAGCTGAACATAATATACTATATTTACATTTTTACAAGTTCATAATTTGTATAAATTTTTTTGCTCACAATTATCTTATCGATGCTAAAGAGATAATTTGAAAAATAAATTAGGGAAGTAAGGACGGGGGAAAGAAGAATATTGGGGGGGGGGGGTAAGAATCACTATAGGTTAGTGGAAATTTATCATGAGTATTTTTCGATTTGAAAATTCAAGATGTATCATTTACTGTGCAAACAAGTGTCCCACAATATATAACGTTTTAAAATTATTTGGAAAAAAAACCCCCGCCTTACCTAGTACTTACAAATAATAAATGAACACGTATCCATACCAATACAAAAAAATTGTAAAAAAAAAATGCTAGACTCCTAAACTGCATTTATTAAAACCGTATATCTTACAAAAAAACATATAATAGTTTTAAAACGTTAATTTTAACATTTAAAATTCACTACATTATCCACTAACCCCTTATTACGTTGGCTTATCAACGAGCCTCAACATTAGGTACATATTTATAGGAAATCATTAACGGATCGGAATTCTAAAATAGTACAATTATACAAAAAAAAATTGTCATTCAATCATCAGTACGAGAAGTATAATAAATGACGAAAACCCGAATGCAATGTAGGTTATCAAGTACTTTTGAGGGTAAAAAATGTATTCTGTATTGATAAAATATAAATATTTTATAAGTTTTTAGACTTTTTGCAGTATAAATTACCATAAAAGTTGAAAAAAAGGCAAAAAGTATTTGCGGGGGGAGCCGGATTTGAACCCGGTTACCCACTCACTACTGGGAAACCGATCACGCTCGACCGCATCACATTTCGTTTTTACAGGCGATTGTAAAATAGGTTTATTCAAGATATATCAAAACATTTGTAAATGTCAAAATTGATTAATAACATATTCTACATTGTATAAATAACTTATGTAGCAACGTATAGCTACATAAATTAAAGATTTCAGTTTATTTGGTATAGTAATATGTATACACCTTATTATCTGTTATTGTAGCAATCAAAAATTAAAAACAATGATTTTTTTCCTATTTGATTTGTTTTAGAAAAAATGTATCGATTTTAAAGTATATTGAATAATATTTAATACATACTAATTAAAAACCGATAATTTGTATTGTTTTTTTTTTTATCAAGTTGTATCTACAAATCCTATAGTGTTCACATTTAATAGCAATACAAGTTTTATTTTTTTTTTTATTAATATATTATTGTCAACGTTTTTTATTGAATTTAGTCATCATATAGATAATTATAATGTTAATGGTTAACTGTTAAGTTATACTCAATAAAACAAAAAATGTGTGTTACAATCAATAATGAAATGGGTTTATTTTATATATACACCTACTAAACTCTTTATTTTATAGTTTGTAAATTTAATTTTTACATTCCAGTTAATCAGTTCAAATTTGTCTGTGTTTACTACAGTAAATGTACAAATCAACAATATCAGTTTCAGTATTAAAATTTAAATTTGTATAATGTCCACATAGGAAGTACATGTATAGTTCATAAAAGTCTTATAAATAACATCTAGGCATGTATATGTCTTAATACACTCTATAACACAAAAACAATATAAATACAAACGTATTAACTAATAAGTGATGATTTCATTTATAAAAACCAAGAGTACAATTTTTTTTACATGCAATTAATTGTTTCACAGAACTTTTGTTTGAGATTTCCTTGTCAAACAGAGTTATTACTTTCTACTATTTTAAAACAATTTCAACACTGTTGAACGGGTCCTCCGAGAGTATTTCAAATAACAAAATATAAATATATCAATACACATTTGATATTTTGAGTGTGATACCACAGATTATATGAAAACAGATTGTTCACTCGGGCCTTTAACAATAGGATTACAAATAAGGCTCTATGATTGGCCCGCCAAAATCAGTGTGACCGTCTGAAGGGAATTTGTTTTTAAACGTGTTCGCGGGCTTTCGCATTTGTTAAATAATTGAGTTAAACAGAATGTTTCTCTTGTATTTACCAAACATTTTATAAATATTAATAACCATAATGATAATAGTAATTTAATAATATTATTCTTACAATTACAGTTGTTTTATATTATCTTACGCACTATATAGTATGACGTATCCAAGGGCAAAAATTTTAATTTCAATAGTAAATTACAATTAATAAATAATAATACATTTAATAATAAAACATTTTAAAATTCCCAATAAGTAAAAATATAATGCATTATAAACAATAAACATAACATATCCATACTTATTAGTATACAATTTTAATTATTTCTAACATAGAGAAATAGTAAGCTGTCCACCATATGGCATGACAACTGACAGAGCATTAATCAACTATGAATAGTATTGACACGAAGTATTTAATTACATTGTTATTGTTAAAATAATATCAATTCAAAAATAATGATAAATAAAATAATACAAATTATTGTAAAAAAGTATTAAACAACTAAAAGTGTTGCATATTTATATACCTAGTACATGTTTTAATATAACCAATTTTTTATTTACTCTTATTCTATAGGCTACTCAGATAAAAGTCTTGTCTTTAAAAGTATAATTGGTGTACAAAATGCGCATGCGCGCCTGCTAATAGGTTAAAATAAATAAAAAATAACGAACATGAAATAATTAGTAAAAATTAATTAAATCACAAAGGTCACATAAATGAAATAGTATACTTTTTAGTAAAATAGTATAAAAAACTGAAGTGCCGAATTTTTTTTCCCGTTTAACATGTTACGGATACATATGAGTTCTAACAACTGACAAATTTTCAACTTAAAGGTCCCAAAATTATGGCTCAAATACTAAAAAAATCTGTAACCATCCTAGGGGGGTGGGAAATGGGAATAATATAAATCCGACACCAGTCCAATTTTTGGTTATTTAAAAAAAATGTTTTGCCAGAACCATTTCCATTATTCTTAAAATGCAAACTGTATACAAGACTTAGATGCTATTTTAAGTATTACGAATGAAAACAAATTTAAATATAATAATATGTTTTAATAATTTTAATTTTTTTTGGTCAGAATAATAATGTTAACCAAAACATCACCTAGTATAAACTACAGGTGATTCATCTGATGTAAGACATTCATTTTTTCAGAAAATTAATTCCTTTAAAACTGTTTAAAAAATGTTAGTAATTGATTATTTATTGTTCATCAATCTGTTCATTTGCTATGAAAAAATGTATAAAATACATCATAAATTAAATATAAATTAGTAAATTACAGTCAATTAAAGATTGCTAATTAGCCATGAAGTGTTTCTTTTTTTAGAATTCATTCACATTCCGACATAAAATTAATTAATTCCCATTCCTCAATCCTTAAAACTAAATGTAATGCATTCATGATTGCATTCCTCTAAAAAGCAATGAAATCCAATAAATGCATTCTTTCCAACACTGATATATATATATCAGTGTTTAATAATGAAATGTTTTTGAGATAATGATAGAGTGTTATCGACGGGGTCAATATTATTACCTATATAACATTTATTATTTTTTTAACATTCAATATGGTAAATACACAGATTATATGAAATAATCATATAATTTGTGGTAAATACAAGTTCGATAATTTCGTTCCGGCTGACATGGCCACACTGGTTTCGGCGGAGTGCTTATCAGCTCATATTTTGTTTACATCGAGAGTGAACAATCTGTTTTCATATAATCTGTAGTGATACCGAGCTCATTGTGATAATATGTTAACTGTAAATAATTGTATGGGTTTTCTTTAAACTATTTTTAATAAGCAAATGATAAATATCACAACTTCGATAAGTAGTTATCTGAAACCAAACACTTATCAAACAATGACTGAGTACCCATTTTATGATTTAAAAACATTTTTAACGCTTGCCTGAAATCGGCCAATAGAGTAACACCATGTTAATAGACAAATGCCATTAAACATTAATGAAGTATAATCGGTTTTTTAGTTTGTGCTATCTCTTTATCTAAACTTTTTTTACCTCCGTTTGGTCATAGGAGGTTATCATATTATCTTTTACAAAATTTAAACTTACATGTTTATTTAGATATAAGTTTAAATGGCATCGCGCCGAAATAGTATCGACACAAATGCCTTGAGAATTGCATTTCGAAAAATCACAAGACTAACGAGATGTAAGAGCCAAAATAATTTATTAATCAATCAAGACAACATTAATATTGAACATGTGTTTTACTACATGCATGTAGTAATTCAATAACAGTTAATCAACTACTCCGTAAATAAATTATTCAAGATGAGTGTTTCAACGTCTTTTGCACTGTATTTTCTGTCTGAAATTACAAAATATTATTATACATTTTTTAAACAAATAAATCATGCCAAATAAGTTGAAAATCACAATGTGGGACTTTTGAAAAACATCTCAATAATAAAAATACTAAATATTACGATATTAGTTTGCAATTTATAATTTTCTTTTCAAAAATAAAAATAAATGATCTTGTATCTCGCATTTTGCTAATCTTAATCATATTATTCTATTTTTTTATTACTGTAATATAGCTCTTTTAATTGCTTATCACTGGGAAATTGTTCGGTTATTTCCAATGCGGCAAATTCTTGTTTTAAAGCGGCGATTACATTTCGTATTTGCGTGTAGCTATATTTTCCGTTTTGGTTTACATCGTGCGAATTGATCACGTATGTTATCCTATCCTATTTTTTTTAACAGAATAATAAAATATAGCAGTGTTGTTAATATCATAATTAAT